GCTCACCTGCCAAGCGGAGGTTGGTGAGAGTTTGCACGTGCAGGTGATGCTGAGCGGGGTCTTTGTTAGCCTTTTAAAGGCTTTCTCAAGCTCCCTGGCAGGGGGTATTTCCACCTAGTACCCACCTCATATTGCAGATTAATGCCGTCCAAAAGATGCCGCGACCATCGGGACAGCAGGCACTAATAAACATGCCTGCTTATTGCAATCAAATATTCTGGTGCGGACGTTATAATCACAGCTAAAATCATCTGTCCACGGTTTTGTCAGCGAATGCAGTGGAAACACGCTTTACCTGGAGCAACGCACAAGTTGGGAATGGCTCCAAAGGACTTGCTATGGTCTGTCGGGTCAATGTGCAAATTAAACCAGATGTACTCAGTACGCGGCTTCCTTTGGTGCTGTTTCCGTCTGGATTGTTAATGGAGCTGCCTTACCTGTACACATTGTGATTGCACGCTACAATCTGGACAGAAAAAGTAGTGAAAAAACCTGAAGCCGGCTCTGAACAGCCTGCTGTATGGGGCAAAAAATAAACCAGCGTCAACCAACGACGCTCAAGAGATTTACACTGCGTCCGAAATCATCACCGCTGCACTCCCTCTGCCCATGGAAAGCTACGGCAATTTCAATACGCTACTTCTAAAAGAACAGGCAAATGTGGCTCTTTAACCACCCCCAAACAACGGTCAGGATCCTCGCCCGTGCCGCTGCCGTCTCCTCTCTGGGGTATCCCAAGTGACACAGCTGCAACTGATGTGCTGTTTGCACAATTTTTATCTGTCACAGACTAGAAAACACCAGCTAAAAGAAGCGCAATGAAGTGTTAAACAGTACAAGCAGAGCTGAGCTAATCACAGCGAAAAGCATTTCTAGCTGGGCCTTAAGCCGATAAAGAGAAGAGGAGTCTCCCGCACATTAGAGAGAATTACTCGTCCAAGGAAGGCAGCGACTCTCGGCCTGGCTTCCCCTGGGCAGGAAAAGGTCAGGATTTTAACATCTAACTAGTCTGCATCCAAAGATGCTTCTTCAGGAGTTTTTGAAAACTTAGGTTCCTCTCTTCTTAGAGATTTTACTCTGGCAGCGGAGAAGTCTAGCTCCTCCTGCCCACAGCTCGTACCGGGCAGCCTTCTCCCTCTTCCCAGCCCCTTCGCAGGCCTGGCGTACCGTCTCCTTGTGATCACTCGCTTCCCTATCCGTGTGCGTATACAAGAGCTTGAGCCGTCATCCAAAGCGTGCATCTACAGTGAAGCGCTGCTCCTCCTTCTAGCTCCCCAGCTCCAGCACCAGGAGCAGAAACCCGGACAGACTCACCTTGCGGGAGAAATTTAGCCTAGCTACCAAAGGACATCATTTTTCTATCAGCCAACTGCTCTAAGACTGAAAAGCGGGATGAAAAAATATCACTTGGGCAATCTAACAAAAACACCAGCAAACACACTAATCTGAAAATACATTTTGGAAGTAGAGCCCAAGTGAGCTGATTGGTGACCATTACTTGGTCGGCGCTTTGCTGACCTGCTTCATCTGTTTCCCCCATATTACTGTGGACTCCAATACGAGTCTGGGCACAGACCTGACCTGGCAGCACACCACCAACTGACATGGTTTTGTCACTCATACCTTGCATTTCCCCACCTGCTACTCAGACGCCTCGGCGCAGCCCCTACCTGCAACGTTACGGACGGCGAGGCTGCAAGGACGCGCCGCTCTGAGAGCGCTGCTCACCTGGGGCAGTCCTCCTGCTGCCCCCACGCACAAAGTTGCAACGACACAAGCAGCAGAAGCTTTGCCAGGTCCATGTCTGGCCAGCTCCTGGCCAGAGACACTGTTGTCCTCTCCTTCACCCGTCCCCCTTACCCTGCGGCTGCAGCTTGGGGTCCCCATTCGCCACCTTCTCTTTACGACTCTCAGGAAGCATCATGCATTTAACTTCTTCATAATATTTATTCTAGCAAACCTAAGGAAGTTGCAGCAGTAAATCTCATTGCTGCTCCTTCCTTAACAAACCATGCCCAAAACGAAGGGCCCTCAAGCATCCGGCGTGGCCTTCAGCCCTCCCGGAGACCCTGTTGCGACCACTGGAAACAGCAGGCGGGGAAGACGTCGGCCTCTCCTGAGCTCCTTGCCCAGGCTCCAAGCAAACATGAGCTCGGCAGAGCCTGCACGGAGCTGCAGAAGCTCAGCACAAAATTACCAACCAAGCATCTAGAAATAACTCACTGCAAAAGGACTACTATACATGGCCTCACACGCCTTTTAAAACAACCAAAATGATCTATTTTAAACCTCCTGTTCTCCTAAGAAACTTCATAACGCTGCTGGACTATGATACACATTGCATAACCCTCCACTGAGTCAAAAGGGAAACTAACCTATAGCTACGGACAAAAAATTGCTGCCATGTGGAGACAAAGTTTAATACTGGAGTTGTTTCAGCTTGTGAATCAAGTGTCCACAGCCAAGGCTATGGTGAGGAGAAGGCTCTCGGCTCTTTTAGAAATACATCCTTTATCTTCCTGCTGGTAAATATGGTTTTTCTGGATTTAGTCAAGTTTGCATCATAAACTGAGTGTTTCTATTAAAAACACGCTAACATATTTGTACCATTCTTCTGTCACCTTGTCCGTGAACACTCCTTAGAGACGGTGGGTCTTAACGAGTAATTCCTCAGCCCAGCTAAAATACCTAGAAACTGCCAAGCCCACGCCTTCGGTTTTTACTCCAGATGCTTTCGTTTACGGCGGGCGTATCTTACCTTGACTTCTGGTTCAAAAATATATTTTTAAAGGAAGAGAGCCTCTCAAGCTATTTTGAAAATAAAAAGGGAGGATAAATAAAAATGGAGACAATTTTACCGGTCCTACTTCAGCTAAACCTTTCGGCGACTTCAATGAGCAGATAATCTTTCGGTGATTATGACCAACCCCTCCCGTTGCTTAGCAACACATAATTAAGGAATATGTTTTCAGATCCGCTTTGCAAGCTGGCCATTATCAGATGAAATTACTGGAGCAACAAATGTCATCCTCATGCAAATGAGTTGGTTGTAGGGGGGAAAAAAAAAATGTTGGACTAGCGAGCAGGAGCGCCGAAGCGCAGAGCCGCTGCGGGCTTCCTCGTGCTGCACACGCCGGCTTCTTGCACAGAGCAGGAACCAAATAAGAGATTTTTAGAGAGCATAATCCCGGGTTCAATAGGAGGCAAATGAAAGGAGGGTTCGGTGTCTCGTACCGGGAGGACATTGCTCAAAATGCATGTGCTCCGGCAGTCGCTTGCAGTAGCACTTTCACTTCAAGGCTACCAATCGTCTCAGTCAGATGTTCTGCAAATAAATTAACATATTTGTGTTCCCCGCATCGTGCCAGCTTTTCTGTTTCAGGCGTTGGGAAATTGTTTATTCAAAAATACTGCCTGAATGTACTACTTCTGTGTCTGATCCATGTCAACACATAATACGTTGCCTAATATTTAAGTATTTTTTAATAAATCAATATGTTACACAAACTGCATAAAGGACGCATAATCTTAAAAGAGGAGGCATCTTCTTTCCAGCTACGAAATTACGGTAAGCTCGGCAAAGGGGTGCGCCAAATGTCTGCATTTTGACAACTTTATCATTTCCACTCGCAAAATCTTTCTTTATTTAGATTCCTGTGGAATGTCATCACCGGTTTGGCACTGTTTCTATGCCTATAAATGGTATACTTTTATTAAAGCTTTGTGTGTGTGTGCTTGCACAGTACATTGTTTGAGACTTGTTTGCATGGCAGCTCAGCTAAACTGCACCGAGAGAAAATTCCCTGCTCGCAGAGTCACTACCAGGAAACACATTTAACAGGGTTTTTTGCACTTTTTTCAAATGAGTCTAGCCACAAATTAATGGATTTTCCAAATTTCCTCCTACTTGCTTAGAAGTGAATTTTTATGGTTAGTTCCTGCCAGGCTCGGAACGATATCATGACTCTGTATTTCCTAAATTGATGAGTTAAGCCCGCTCGACTATGCAGCCTTATATCGAGGCAGCCAAGGAGCTGAACACCGCTGAGAAGGAAAGGGAGGAAGAGAAGCAACCATTCATTTTTATTGTTCCAGTGGCTAATGACAGGCTTTTAGTTTTAAGCACAGACCTATTACTTTAACAGTTCTATCGCTTCACTTATAGGCAATTCTAAAAGGAAATCAAGGGTTTTATTTTATGTGCCTGATAAAACAGCAAATTAATAATAAGAAGAAAAGACTCAGGTAATGGCCAAAGGTAAGTCGATTCTAGAATAACACCATTAGCTATCTGATAAATTTAGTCAAAACAATGCTAAGCATTTCCTCTGAGGAACATATTTGTGCCTGATAACAATGGTAAAAAGTCAATCTACAACAAAGGCTGTAGCCCTAATTGCTCAGAAAGCGCAGTATCTAATCTTCCATTCCACACAAACAACGGCAACGGCAAGATTAACTGTAGAACAATTATCTGATATAGCCATCACTTTTAACTGAAGTTAGCTAAACAAATAAAATATTTAGCATTTTACTGCACACTGCAAACCAGCATCTCTAGCTCTGAATAGCCAGCACCGTCCTACGAAGAAATCCTGTTTGCCTCCTTTTCTAAATAGGGAAGTGTCGAATATTTTGGCATGAAACCCAAGTATATGCGACTGCTTCTTCTGAGGGTTACCATAAGCAACGACCTAGCTGCTCTGAACTACCCTACGGACTAATACGCTTAGAAAATTACTTGGTTCAGGTGATGCCATAGTGGAGACGATGACGGGCGGCCCCGTGCGCCGGCTGAGCTTGGGGTACGGGGAGTGCTGCGGGTGGGGGCTGCCGTGCGGGCTGTGTGCTGGCGACCCCGGCGCCGTCCGCTCCCTCTTCATCAGCTCCATGGGCACCGTGTAGGTGGTCGGATACGCCGTTCTGGGACTCGCGTGAGGGTTTGCCTGTACCGCAGTCATGGGCATCCCAGCAGCAGCAGAGTAGGTGGACCCTGGACGAGGATGCACGTTGCAAGGGAAAGGAGCGCCGTATCCAGAGTTAGGGAGACAGTGAGGCCCCTGAGAAGCTACCCCAGATGCAGAATAGGTGGCAGTTTCCAGAAGATGCTGTGTTGGGGCACTAGACGGCCGACGATTTATTTCTCCTACCCTCGGAGAGACCGGCTGTAAAGGCTGCTGCACGGCTGAACCGTCTATAATGGGACCTGAGACGAGGTGTGTGCCGTACTCATTCGGCAGCTCACTTCGGTGACTAAAACTGTTCGATCGGGTTCTGGGACGGAGAGCGCTGCTCTTCCTGTCGTGCCTTTGGAGCTGCATTTCTGTTTTGAAATTATGGGCTACGCGAGAAAGCACTCTGGCTTGCCCGAGATTCGGGGCTACAGACTTTATATCGTTCTCCTCCATCATGGCTAGCAAGTTGGGAGAATCAAACCCTTGCTGCAGCAGAGCATTGAACGTGCTTTCGGACACTCCCTCTGCACGCAGAAGCGCTAGGAACTCCGGATCAAAAGTCTTTTTACTGTCCTGGCCGGAGAAAGCCGGAGGCATCTGAGCGTGGGAAGGAGTCGCAGCAGGTTCGTAACTGTCGTAAGGAACTTTAGCACCGACGCTTTCCCTGCCTGGTCCACAGCCGCGACTCAGGGCAGGCGGAACCACGCTCCCGTCCGGAGCAACGGCAGAAGTTGGATCAACGACCAAGCACGTCGGAGTTGTCTGTCTAGCAGCCGTAGCCTCGATGGGTCTCTCTGGTGTATCGTTGTAGACTTGCCTAGCGGGGAAAGTCGGAGCCTCCGCTGCGTATCGGGGGGCAGGGGGCTCAACACCGTACCTGGCTGGAGAAAGATCCCTGTTTCGCATCCTCTGCCCTTCTGGAACCATTTTCGGATCCCTATACATGCGACTTGCTTCATGAGGGGCCGGTGATCGTCCCTGTACCTGATCCCAAGACAATCTGCTCCCAGGCATCCCATAGCTTGGTAGTGATCTACTAATCATGTGGTCTCTATAGCAGCGGGGATCTTTAGGTGATCTAGCAGCTAAGGCTGGGTCGCTGTAGTAATCCTGAGGTGGCAAGGAGCTTCGCCCGGACACGGCAGCCTGCCTCTCGTAGTACGTGAAGTCAGGAACTGAACCTTTCCTTACGGGACCCTG